CTGCTCTGTATGTTTCCTGCTCCAGAGATGCCTCTCTAGCACAGCTCTAAGCTGCCACAACCTCCTGCTGTGCAATGCCTGAAGAAAGCCATCACTGTATGGCAGGATTATGTCTCTCCAGTCCTTCCCAACCCTTCCCAGCCCTGCTACCGGTTGGTGCCACTAGACACCTGCTTCCCTAAGCCCTCCCTTTTTCTTGCTTGGCTTGTAGGTATCTTCAGGAGTACGCAGCCCTGGGCACGGGTGGTGGCATCTATCACTTCCGAGACCAGATCCTGTCAGGTGGTGCTGAGGCCTTCTTTGTCCTCAACGCAGATGTGTGCTCAGAGTTCCCCTTACAGGAGATGCTGGAGTTTCATCAGCAGCATGGGGACATGCACAGCTTTGTCATTCTGGGTACCACAGTGAGTGGCAGTGCTGGGGAGCAGAAGAGCTGCAGTGATGTGCCATGGGGTTAGAAGCCAGCAGCTCCTGTGGTGGGTGGGTCCCACACTGAGGCCCGGGTTTCATCTGCTTTGCCTCCCAGTGCCTACTGCTCCACCATTGCTAACATTATCCTTGTTTCTTAGGCCAACAGGACACAGGCACTGAATTATGGCTGTATCGTGGCAAATGCAGGGACACAGGAGGTACTGGAGGGCTTTGGGGAGTCAAGCACAGTGTGGGTGGCAGGTTCTGTGTTGCCTGCATGGGTCTGTGGTCCCAGTGTGCCACAGAGGGTGTGATGCTGGATGGAGGGGCTGCACCCTGCGATTCATGTCTCTTCCCTTGCCTGCAGGTTCAGCACTATGTGGAGAAGCCCAGCACATTTGTCAGTGAGATCATTAACTGTGGCATCTACCTCTTTACACCTGCCATCTTCCAGCACATTGGCGAGGTCTTCCAGAGGAACCAACAGGAGCTAGCACTGTGAGTGCCTCACTCTGTTCTGTGTCCCTCCCAACCCCCTGCTTCCTGGGGCTGCAGCAGCACGCTCATCCTCCATTCTTTCTCTATCTTTTCTCCTCCTCTGCCATCACTCACTTGTTTCCTGGTCCTGCACCAGCTGTCCTTACCTTGGGTAAGTCTCCCTCTGTGTCTGCACTTGCTCCTCTCTGGGCTGGATTGATCCTAGTGGTAATGCATGCTTTCCCTCCCTTCTTCAAGCTGCTGTTTCCTCTGCTCTGCTCCTGGTCAGCTTGAGACTTTCCCTCTCCCTTCTTCTCTTCCCACCCCATTCTCATTCAGCTCTGGATAAGAGGCTGAGCAAGCCTTTCACCTGGGAATGCTCCCCTCTCCTGTTCTTTGCACCACCCAGCCTGTCACCTCACATCTCTGCCACCACCCAAGCTAAAATCCAGCTGTGCAGGCTCTGGACTGGGGACAGGATCATACACCCACCTGGAGTAGGTGGGGCTCTTGCACTATCAGCTTCTGGCTCAGAACTTATTTTGACTGTCCTTCTGCTGCTCTGGGGCTCAGTGGGGCTGTCCCAACCTAGCCTGACAGTTGGCGCTGTCCCCACTTTCGGGGAGAAGTGCATGGCTAAGTAGGAATTTGGGATTGTCAAGAGTCCTTGACTTTGGGGAGAGTGTGTCTGCTGGGGTCCTCAGCTGAGGCCATGACTGGAGTGGGTGTCTAACAGGACTCTTGCTTGCAGAGAGGAAAGCTCCAATGGCTGGCAGCGTGCAGAAGTAATTCGGCTAGAGCAGGATGTTTTCACGGCCCTGGCTGGGAGTGGCAAACTCTATGTCTACAAAACTGATGGCTTCTGGAGCCAGATCAAGTCAGCTGGGTAAGCGCTGTAGCTAGAGTTGGTGTAGCAGGAGCATCAAGTGATCTGTACCAGGGAGGGTGCTCAGGCAGAGGCCTGGGGGTGGGTGGGCGGTACTGATTTTGGATCCTCCTCTGCCCTGGTAGCGCCAGAGTGACAATAACAATCTTCTGCTTTTCCTCCTCCAGCTCTGCTATCTATGCCAGCCGCCTTTACCTGAACCAGTACAGCAAAAGCCACCCAGAGAGACTGGCCCAGAACAAACCTGGAGGCCCTGTCATCCGAGGTACCATTCTGACACCCTAATGCATTTGGAGCTGCCTAGGGAGGCAGTAGCACCCACAAGTGGGACCTCCCCTATCTGAGAGGCAAGTGCTCCTGTGAGTTGCCTCTCCTGAATCCACTGCCTTGTGTTGCAGGGAATGTGTACATCCACCCGACAGCCTCCATCGACAGCACTGCAGTGGTGAGTGCAGGCTGGAGGGGCCCTGGGGGAGGGAAGTGCTCAGGGGTGCAGAGGGCATCACTGTCTTTGTCCTCATCACCTCCTTCTGTCCTCACAGCTGGGCCCCAACGTCTCCATTGGGGAGGGTGTGACAGTGGGCGCTGGTGTCCGTGTGAGAGAGTCCATCGTCCTGCACGGCGCCTCACTCCATGTAAGTGGGATGTGCCTGAGGGAGTAGGTGCCAACCCTCACCTATTGCAGCGGGGCAGCAGCACCATGCGTTCCCCTCTCCTTCATCCCAGGACCACACCTGTGTCCTCAATACCATTGTGGGCTGGGACAGCACAATTGGACGCTGGGCCCGGGTTGAAGGAACACCCAGCGACCCCAACCCCAATGATCCCTATGCCAAGATTGACAGCGAGACCCTTTTCCGGGACGGGCGCCTCACACCATCCATCACAATCCTAGGTACGTCTCTGCTGTATAGAATCACCCTGGCCCTGCTCACCGAGGCAGCTTCTCCCCTCCAGCTAAACCCTTTGTGTTCTCCCCCCAGGCTGCAGTGTCACCATTCCTGCTGAGGTCGTTATTCTCAACTCCATTGTCCTTCCTCACAAGGAGCTGAGCCGAAGCTACAAAAACCAGATTATCCTGTGAGTCATGGGCAGCACCTGCCACCTCCCTGCTGTGCCCCACAACAAGAGCCTGCACTGAGACCTCACATCCTGGGAGGTTCTCAGCACCCCCAGAGGCGTAGGTGCAGGCCAGGAGCCCTGCAAGTGCCTGACTACTGCTCCAGACAAACATTAAAGCTGATGAGCATCAGCCTTGCATGTGGCTTCTCTTGCAGCCCAGGGACCAGCCCTGGGCCAGGGTGAAGGCTCTGGGGACAGTACGTGGCTCTGGTACCAGCCTGTGGGTGTATGTAGGGAGCACTTGCTGCCTACAGTGTCTTGGATCCAACTTTGTGTGTTTCTCCACCAAAGGGCACTACCAGCACCACCTTGCCACTCCTCATCAGGCTCTCCCTGCACCATTTTCTATATGCAACTCACTGGAAGGTCTTGGCCCATCTCCAAGACCTGGGAGTTTTGAATGTGCCTGTCATGTGTAGGCAGCTCACCCCACAGGAGTAGATCAAGACTTGATTTCAGCATGATTGCAACAGCCTGAGCTGGGCTCCTGCCTACTGCAGGGAAAACAGCAGTGCCAGGCTGTCCTAAGGGCACTGGCACACACATGAGGGCTGGGTCAGACTAGTGGCCTGCTGGCCCTGGAGGGAGCTGCAAGAGCACCCCTTCCCCCCGTACCACCCTCTGCCCCCTGGGCTCAGTGTGAGCCAGGAGAGCTGCCAGCCCTATGAAGCCTGCTCCTGTCAGGTTGGAACCTGTGCCTGCTGCCTAGGCAGGGCTCAGAGTGAAGGCAGCAAGCCCCTGCTACCCTGGTGGGCCAACAGCCTCCTTCACACCAGCATGGCTGGGGCTCACTGCATATCTCCTCCTGGCCACAGCCACTGCCACTGGGCATCAGAGCAATCAACTTACACGTGTGCAAGTGGCAGAGATTTAGCACCTCACTTTGCCTCAAAAAACCCGGTTTTATGGAAGGCAGTTTCCTCCTGAGCCTGGCATAGATTGTCTGCAGTAACCAGTGTTGCCCTTTATCCTTTTACCTCCCTGGTTTTAAAGCCCTGCACTCCACCAAGGGCATCATACCTCTCATTTTCAGCAAGGCACTCTATTAGGTATTCTTCATCCATCCAGTACCATCCCAGGTTGATGGATTTGGAGTAAATCCTTGCTCCCAGCCCTGTGCCTTCCTGTGCCAGTTCTCCTGTGGTCCTGGGCAGGGATTAGCTGTTCCCTAGTTTTAAGCATATTAAATTCCTTCAGTTTTGCCTTTGCCTTGGATGTGTTAATTTCCTTGCCCTCTGGTGTACACTCCTGTGCTGGGGAAAACCAAGCCAAAGTATTTGCTTTCAGGATTGCACATGAGTTCTCTCATGTGCCCCATCTGGTCTGGCTTTTAGTAAGGACAAAGGTTTATTGTCTGCTCGCTGGGGCATAGGGGCAGTTCTTATCCCTGTTGTGTAATGCCTCTTTTCCCTAAATTCCCTCTGCACTGGTTGCCCCTTCTGCAGAGTTATCTGGGGGACAAGCCCTTCCTAGGACATTGCTCCATTACAGCATGCTCCTGCTTCCCCCTCTTGGAGGGAAAGAGCTGTACATCTCTAGCACAGTCTGGGCAGGAGGGGAGGAAGGAGTTAAAGAGGCCTCCACTGAGGTGCCAGGAAGTCTGGAAACACTTTAAGGTTGTCCTGCCCTGAGCAGCAACAGCTCCAATTACTTCAGGCCAACATCTGGGCTCAAAGGGGGGCTTCCCACATGAAGGGCTCCAGAGCAGAAGAACAGGGCTTCAGCTCGGGTGGGAGGGGGCTCTGCCTGCCCGCCCAAAGCAGAGGTTCTGTGGAGCATTGTTCAGCTCATGCCTCCTGCCCAGCCAGGCTTGAATGAGCCCTAACCCCCTGGTAGTAGCAGGGCAGGACAGACAGCAGCTACAGCAAAGTGTGTTTTGCTGCAAACATTTAATACAACTTTTAAACGTGATTCAAAGTACAAGTACTAGAGTAGTGTCCCTGCCACCACAGCTGGACAGAGCCAGCTCTGCTCCCCAGTCCACAGGGAAGCAGAGCAGAGCTTTGAGCTCGGCACTGTCACTCTATAGGCAGCTGCTTGGTCCTGCAGTCTTTGCTTCTCCTCCAGTGCCAGCTCCGTGTCCCGAGAGAGCCACTGCTGCAGGCTACACAGGAGAAGGGAAGAACCGGCCCACCTTCCTTGGGGCCGGCCCCTGCCTGCGTGGGGAGAGATGAGTCAAGGGTACAAAGCAAGCTCCCCTGGGCCCCCACCCACGCCCGACAGCACTCACGGGGGCCGGGTGGCAGTGCCCACGCAGCTCCGCAAGGTGCTGGGGAGGCAGCAGGTACCAGCTGGGCTCAGCTGGCCTGGCTTGGGCTCCGGAGAGGCAATGGGCTGGAAGAACGGTTCTGCAGGACAGAGTGGGGACAGCTATCACCCCAGCCACGGACAACCAGGACCTTTCAAAGAAGCCAAAGGCCAGGGTGGGTGGGGGCTGGGGCTCCTGTGCTCACCACATTCACGTCTTGGGGCTGACATTGGCACCAGGTTCTCTTGCTCTGTCTCCACAAAGCCTCTCCAGAAGTCAGGTGGCAGTGAAAGGAGACGAGCCACCACCTGGGCAGCGAGAGGTGTAGGATGGGGACACTGGCAGCGCCCAGAGTACACCCCACACCTCAGGGATCCCTCACCTTGCACTGCCGAGGCGTATCCTCCATGATGGCGAGTGGTGTGGGGTTGGCTGAGCTGTGTCCCACCAGTGTAGGGCCAAACACACGGGAGAGGTTGAACACATCCATCTTGCAGTCAGGGCTGTGTGACACCCTGAGGGGGGACAGGGCGTGAGCATGCTGCCCAGCCCAGTAGCTTCCCTGCTCTAGGGCACAAAGCCTGGGTGAGGGGCAGAGAACCAGGAGATGGCGACAGACCAGTGCCAGGATGAGCCACTCACCTGAGCAGGTGCAGCATGAGGAAGGCCAGGGTATCCCTGTTGGCTGGGGGCAGCTTGCTTACCACATGGCGCAGGGCTGTGTCACTGGCAGCATCATCGGGGATGTCTGTGGCAGCACCAGGGAGCTGTGTTAGGGGAGAAGCAGTCCCTTCCCCTTCCCTCACCTTGGTACCCCCTGCTCACCAGCAGCCCTGAGGAAGGCAGGGTGGAGGCTGAAGGTGACCAGTGGTTCCTTGAGCCCCCGCAGGAAGTCCTTGAGTACCCCACACACCACATGGATGTCAGTCACGCTGCTGAGGGCAGGCAGCGCACCCCCAGCCCGCAGCAGCTTTCGCTTCCACTCCCGCACCAGCTGCTCCGCGCCTGGCACCCGGTACAGCCCTGTCTGGGGCACAGGAAAAGAGGCTCAGCCCTGTGGGAACCACAGCATTGCCACCTTCACCATCCTGGTCCCTACCTCTGTCAAGCCTCGTGCCTCCACCTCAGTCACACATTGCACCACCAGTGTGGGCACCAGGGGCGGCGTGGAGGGCGCAAAGTCAGCCAGCACACCCTGGGGAGAACAATGCCAACCTGTGCTGTGCCCACCGCCCAGCCCTGCAGCCAGGGCGGGCAGAGGCCCAGCATTCTAGGGCCAGTAGCCCTGAAGCCTCGTGGGGACATGGAGAGGCCCCCCAAGCACTGCTGTGCCCCCCTCACCTCACGGGGCCAGGCATGGTGGTGAGGCCTGGGTGTGCAGAGGCTGGGGCACTGCTCCCGACACTTGGTGTGTAGCAGCAGCTGGCACTGGCAGCACTTGATGGCAGTCTTCCCAAAGCGGATGCGGGAGCCACACACACAGCATGGCTCAGGGCGGATCACCTGGAGAGGGGGAACAGGATCAGGAGCCCCCTCTTCTTGCAGATAGCCAGTACCAATCTTTTATCTTCTCCCAGCCAGGTCCCACTGTCTCCATACATTCCCCTTGCAGAGAGATCTAAGGGCTTGGGGAATGAATGGCAGCCTGGCCCCCGACCCCACAACTTTCTCCCCTGCCCACCTCCCCAGGGGAAAGAGCCTGGGTCACGCACTGTTTTGGAGGTGAACTTATGCTGGACTGGTGGGACACTCCGTGGAGGTGAGGGGAAGGGGGCTGGTGCTGGCTGTCCCACTGAGCTGCCCTCAGTGTGGTTCTCTTGCCCCACAGCACGGCAGCCCAGATCTTCACCGGTGGTGATCTCTGCAGGCAGTGGAGGGAGACCTGAAAGGTATGCCACTCCATCATCTGGAGGCTTCCCACCTCCAGTGGCTCCACCTGGAGTCTCTGTGTGAGACAGTGGCATTTGGCACATCCAGAGGACCCCAGTACCTCCACAGTGGGGACAAGCATCCCCCAACAGATCCCCTCCCTCCCCTGTGACAGCAGCACCTTGAGGCTAGCCCCATACCACTCCTCAACCCCCTTCTCAGCCCTCCCTGTGACCTGCATGCATGGAGACACGATGTCCCTGGCGAGAGCGGCGTTGAGGCACCAGAACAGCAGGCATGAGGTTGTCAGCAGGGCCTGGGACTTCAGCAGGAGGGGGCATAGAGGAGGCACTCATCTGTCAAAATGGGAGACCAATAAGATATGACTGCAGCCCCACAGTTCTCCAACATCTCCCACATGATCTCTGGTCCACCTGATCGCCATCCCTGTGGTCCTGCACAGCCAGGGACGCTGCCACCATGGGTACAGGGGGGTTGCAGGCTTCAGGGCAGTGGTCTGGCATAGCCAGGGATGCGGTCTCCACTGGGACCAAGGTGATACAGGCTGAAGGACACAGGCACCCAGAGGAGACAGCTGAGCACTGTTCCCACAGCATCCACAGGATTGAGGGCTGCAGCATTGCCTTCTGGCACTGGGAAGGCCCAAGTGCCCCATCCCTGCCTAGGGCACACTAGGGTCTCTACTTACAGCATTATGGGGTACCACAGAAGAACGGTGCCGCTTTGCCATCACCACAGGGCCAACCTGAGGGGCCAGGGACACACGCTGGAAACAGAAGACAGCGTGAAGAATAGGCAGAGACCTCCCTCCCTGACTTTTCCCTACACCCCAGAGTGCCCAAGCCAAGTGGCCTGAGCCCAACAAAAAGTCCCAGTCTCACCCTATTCCTCCAGCACTGCCTGCCCCACACCAGGCATCATGGGGACCCAGCCTTCCCCACCAGGTCAGAGCCAGCCCTGGGGGAAGCCAGGTCAGGCCTGCAATGCAGAGGTGCAAGCAGAGTGGGGTGCGGGATGCCTACACATGGTGATGAATTATTGAGGAGCCCAGCTGGGCCACGGTGGAGCATAATGGAGTTTCTATTGATCGTGGGAGGTTTGCCGAGAGACGATGCTCCCAGCCCAGCATCAATAAATTAAATTCCCTGCCAGGCTCCTTGCAGCCCCCTGTGCTGGGATGGAGAAGTATCTGGGTGTCCTCACCTTGCGTGGCACAGCACCAGCATCCCAGCCTGTGATGCACACTGGGACCTGGGTGGGCAGAGGGACCCAAAGGGCACATTGAAGGAGTGTGATCAGAGTTGGGGGATCCTCACCCACACAGGGGCACAGACACCACCTCAACATCAGCCCCCAAAACTGTCACATCCCAGCATTTCCTCATACCTGCTTGTCCGGAGCTTTGCGCTTCAGGGTCTGCACCACCGTCATATCAACATCCTGAAAGGCAGCAGGGAGTCTGAGGCTACATAAGGCCAGGGGCATTCCCAACATTCATTTCCAGCTTTGATAGCAGCCCACCCCTAACCGTAGATATACAAAGGGGCTGTGCCACTGCAGAAGTGGGGCAAAACAACCCCCTCATTATTGGGGTAAACCCTTAGATTCACAGCCAAACACTTCTTACCACGTCATCCTCAGTGCGATCATAGCTGATATCTGAGTGGGACAGGAGTGACTGGCACGACTCGTCCACTGCAGATGACCTGCAGAGTGAGCTCAGCTGGAGCAATTCCTCCCTCAGCCAGCACCTACTTGTGCAGCTACTCCTGGGAGCCCACAGCTGATGCTTCTGCAGAGCCCAAACACCTCCTTCCCCAGCCAGCCCCTCAAGCCCAGCAGTGATGAGGGGAAGAGGGGCACAGCCGACCCCACCCCAGGGCTGCCCAAAGGGTTGGGGTGAGGACGCCACCCCTGCTCACCTCCTGATGGGTGCCAAGGCTGCCCCAAGGCGCCAGCCAGTCAGAGCACTGAGAACAGAGCACTGCTCCCTGCTCAGTGCCTCGGTACCCCATGGTTCCCGCATCAGCAACTCAAGGACCAGCTGAAGTTTGCGCTCCTGCAAGTAAAACAGGGTGGTGGTGAGCAGGCTGAGGGCCCCGCAGCCAGCCCCGCAGGGTACCCCTGCGGCCAGCCCCCTGACCTGCTTCTCCAGCTCCGCCTCTGCCCGGTGCCGCTTCTTCATCTCCACCTCCACTTGGTTTCGGGCGTGTTTGAGCTTCACCTCCAGTGCTGCCCGCTCGGCCTCCACACGGGCCAGCTGCTCGCGGGCACGACGCCCATCCTGCTCCAGCCTGCAGCATCTCTGGCGCGTCGCCTCAAAGCACCGAGCTATCCGGATGTACTCTGGGGAAAACAGCAGTGGGTGGTCAGCCGGGACGGGGGGCCAGCCCCCTGCTCCCCCAGACCACGCCAGCGGCAGAGGCGAAGATGCAGACACCCACCTTCCTCCACGCTGCCGCCGAGCTCCAGGAGCTGCAACCCCTGCTCCAGCCGGGCCAGGAGCCGCCCGCAACGCTGCCGCAGCATCCCGCCGTCCGGGACGGGCCCCTGCAGCCAGGCACCTCCTTCCACGTATCCCCCCGCAGCTCCTGCCCCACGCTTTCCTCCGACCGCCGGGATACTCCGGGGGCCTCGGGATAGCGCAGGCTCGGGGGCGAGGGGCCCTCCCGGCCGGCCTATGTGGGCCGGGGGCCGGGGTGGAGCCCGTCCCGGCTCCGCCTCCGCCTCCCGCCGCCGCCGGGGTCCGACCAGCCGCCCCGGCTCCTGCCGGGGGATTCTAGGGCGTGAGATGCCCCGGCGTGCGGGTGGCAGTACTGGCTGCAAGGTTGAGGAGCAGGGTGAAGGTTGCCTTTGGGGGCGAGGCAATGCCCAGGCACTGGGTATACCCGATGAGAGCACTTAAAGGGGTGCAGAAGCAGTGGGTGTGGGATACTCGGCGCGTGCAGGGGCATCGGGGGGACCACCGGGCGTAGGAGGCGCTGGAGGTGCAGGAATGCTGGAGGGGGCACCACTTTCCGACGCCTGCATCCCGGGAGCGGCGCGGGTGGAGCCGGAGGAGCTGATGTCCTTGTCCGCTGTCCCCCGGCGCTGTGTCCCGTGTACCGAGTGGCGGGCGGGGGCGGTGGGGATCCCCCGCACCGGGTCTCCCGTCTGGTCCGTGTCCTGCAGATGGAGCCACCTCCCCGCCGCAAAGCCCCGTCTCTGCCCGCGTTGCCCGTACTCTACCCCGAGTCCCTTGCCCGGGGGGTCCCCAGGGCTGCCCCCGGCCCCGTGTCCCTTGCACGCCCAGCCCTGCTGCAGCCCCCGGTTCCTGGCGACCCTGCTTTCCCATGGGAGGGCCCGGGCAGGGTGCGGGGGGCGCTGGTGAAAGGCAGCTCCCCCTCCCCGGTGCCTGTCCCAACCTGCTACGAATACCGGGAATAGCAGCGAGGCTGGCGGCAGGGCTGGGCGTGCAAGTCTCTGCACACACAGACACACGCATGCAAATACACACGAACAGCTCACAGAATCCTCGTGGGCCTCCCCGGCTGACACTGACCTGGAGAAGAGGTTTTGCACCCTGTGGATACACAGCACCAGGTCCATCCCAACACCTCGGTGACTCTTGGGAGTGGCTGTGGGGCTCAACAGGCTCCTCTCCCTGTGCCCGACCCTCAATCAGAGCCGAGACAGTGACAAGAAGGGGGTGTGGGAGAGTACTACTACAAGCCTGGGATGCGTCTCAGGCACTTGGTGAGAAAATAGTCAGGATCTATAAAATAGCTATAAGGTTTGTGTCACTCCAAGGGCTGAACGTAATCATCATTTGCAACCAAGGTTGTGTGGTACCAGGAACACTGGCCAGGATACTGCCTGATGGGTGCTGCTGCCTGGGCCCCAGACAGTGCCAAGGCATGATCCCCCTTTGGGACAGAGACCTTTGGAGGCTGTGACAGTCTGGAAGCAGCCTGGCAAGCCTTTGCTCCATCCTGTGTCAGACCATGGGCAACAGAGGGTGTTTCTCAGCTAAGCTCCTTTCTCCCAAGGTTGAATATGAGTCAGGTTTTGGAGCGACTTTAATTACTACTGGATCGATAGGCTCAGCACGGCCAAACAAAATCCAATTGCAGCCCCGGGGGCCTGCCTGCTCAGCCCTCCCTGCCCACTCAGCCCTCCCTTCCTGCCTCTGGGGAGGCACGTGCTCCCTCTCTGTGGATGCTCCTCAATCCCACTGGCCCAGCACCCAGCCACAGGGGGTGAAATCCCATCCTGCATATGGAGCCACTTGGTCAGCCCTAGCAGAGGACATGCATTCCTGGAGCAGGGCAGTAGATGGAGATGCCCCAGCCTTGCCAGTGCTGCCCATGGGAACACACACACACACACACACACAGACACACACACATCCCCTGAGTCCCTTTCCACACCCAATGCATGGAGAAAGTCTGTGGTCTTGGACCCACCTTAGATTCTGGGCACAAGCCTGGCAACCCCCAGGAGGGCAGAGTGGCCTTGGCAACATGCAGACAGCCCCTCCTATGGCCAGGGATGGGTGTGGGGCACTTGCCACCCATCTTGTTTCCCCGCCACTGCCTGCTCCCCCCTCCCAAGCCACCCTGGCTTGGCCAGGTACTGCATAAATAGCTGTTTGTGTCTCCACTCGGCCCCTGCGTGGGAAATAATATCGGCTGATGGAACATAATGCCCTGCTTCACATGTTCAATTTTATCATTTTCCGAGGCAGGCAATCTTCGTTTAAAGCTGAATGGGCTGGGGAATGTTAATGAAGCGCCGGCGCTGCTCTGCACCGCGCTTTATCTCTTCGAGAATAATTTGGGTGAGCTCGGAAATAGAGTTCCCAGTCCCAATTCAAGTGGCGGCAGCACCACATGCCGATAAAAGTGTAATTCCTGGCCAGCGCGTGGCCCTGAATACATGACAATTTAACTCTTGGGGCCCCGCTGGGATGTGCTGCCTGCAGCTGCCTGCTGCCTGCTTTGGGCCCCTCTGTCCTGCGTGCCCGGCATATCGTGGGTGCTCAGCCCAGGCAGGATGCGGTCTGTCGCTCCCACTCACCCCAGCCACCGAGCAAAGTGTGCAGACCAGGGAGGAGAGATAAGAGGGCTGGAGCTGAGCTGGAAGAAATCAGTCTCCTTGCATAGACAGGACCCCACAGGCAGATCTGCTGGGTGCTCTGGGATTTGAGCTCTGCTGGGAGAGGGATGCCCCAGATCCAGGGATGCCCAGGCAGTGAGAGAGAGGGATGATGAGAGGGAAGGAGGGAGGGACTGGGTTGGGGAACAGGCAGGAGGGAGAGAAGTTCAAGGGAGCATCACATTCAGATGGACTGGCAGAGGCAGGTGGGTGCTCATAGGCCAAGGGCACATGGCTGAGTGAGGGACTTCCCCAGGAGTCCCCCTAGGCCTTGGTGATCATCGAGGGGAGCAAAGATAACTTGCAGAAGGTGTTTGCTGGACCTAGAAGGAGAAATTCAGGTTAGCAGGAGCAAGCAGCCTAGGCCCTAAAGAGAAAGCATCGAGTGGTCTGCCTGGTCTTGCTCTAAGCCCAGCCATGGCCTGTCTCCAGCTCTCTCCAGCTGTGCTCTGGCAGCAGGCCCCTGCATGAGGTGATCCTTGGGTCCTACCTGAACTTCACTGTCTGGACACAGCTCCTGTGGCCTTCAGATGCTGTGGGTGGGTTCCCAGGGCAGCACAGCACCCTCAGAGCAATGGTACCTCATATCCTTAACCACCTCACCCTGAAGACACTGGGAAGGCGATGTCTTGGCCCAGCAAGGAGTCAGCAAGGTCTTTTGGGCAACTCTCTGGGCCCGCTCTGGTGGGGCAGTAACAGACCCTTCCCCTGGGAATGAATGGGGGGCGGGTTTCCAGCACTGTTAATCAGGGCTGCGAGAGCCGGGATTAATGTGCACTCCAAGGCTCTCCAGTCCCAGCTGTGATCCAGCCCTCTGCTCTCAGCCAGAGCCGCCTCCACGCGCTGAATTATCAGCCTGAGTAATTAAGTGGAGAGCTTTGTTTTAATGCAGACATCTGATGCCTTCGCACCGAGGAGCACAACAACTGTCGCGGGTGTTTATGCTCCGTGCAACACATCTGGCTCACAGGGAGAAAATCCATCTCCACCGCTGTGCGAGATTAAAGGGAACGCGGCTCGGGTGTGGAGAAAGGGAAGCAGAGCTCTGCAGCCAGCGTGGTGGGCAGGACCCATCCCCCTGTGTCATCCCACTGGTCCTTGCACCCTGCTGGCAAGAGGCTCTGGTTCAGGGCTGCCCGGCAAAGCATGCGCCACCTCCGCACCTCGGCACGAAAGGCAGCACAATGCCTTGTGAGATGAGGGATAATTACAAGCTTGGAGATAAATGGAAATAGGGCAAAATAAAACATGGGTTTATCAGAAGTAGATGGTGCCTGGCTCACCTGATACCTGCTGCTGATAAGGGAACTGGCTGCTGGAGGAGGAGGGATGCAGATCTAAAAGCAGCTGCTGTGCCATGCAGAAAATTATTGCTTTGCACAGATTAGGGGATTAGCACCAGTGCAAGGAACTGGAAAGGGGCTGGTGTGGGAAGAAGCCAGGCTGCAGGGAGAGAGGAGGTAGCATGCAGGGGAGAGGATCCTGCTGGGACCATTGTGGATGTGCCTCATTTAATTTTGTTGCCCCAAAAATGGGGGCTGTGAGGAAATCTGCTGATGCTGCACAAACACAGATCTCTCTGCTTGGCCCCTGAATCACTGTGCTTTGTTCATCACACCCACTTGATATGCCTAAGCAGTCTCTTGGATTTAGTGCTTTTCTTATGGGGCATCTTGGCTGGCCTGACACCAGGGTGAGCTGTGCCATCGTGAGCACCTACTCCACGAGCTTCCCTCAGCATCTCATGATCCCCAACACTTTGTGAGTGCTACAAGCAGAAGGATTTCCACACTCGCTGCCCTGTGGCAGGGTTGTTTCCATCAGAGAGCTTGCCATTGCCTCCAGCCCCTCAAGCCCCTGTCTGCTTGGCACTGCAGGGACAGGGGAAGGGGCTGAAGGGGACAGGAAGAGGGACTCGGCAGTGAGGGGAAAGGAGACTGCAGCTGAGAATGTAACTGCTGCATGTGGTACTCCCAGTGTGAGCATCAAAGGAACCCCATTGAGAAAAACTGTTTTAAAGACGAAAAACTCCAGGTGGTTTCCAGCAAAACTGTGCTCTGAGCTGCTCCCCCACTGAGAAAAACATGTCAAAATTTGGCAGGGGACCTCTGACCCTGATGTAGTTGAGGAGCATATGCCATTGTGGTTGAATGAAGCTGCCTTGCCGAGGCTCATCTGACTCCCCGTGGTGTTGAGCAGTCAGGGCCGGTGAAGCTCTGCTCCCCAAAAGGGCTGCCCGTGGGGACCATGTGCTGGAATATGCTGTGCCTGGACATGCAGACACTCGAGGGGCTTTGGCAAAATCTGGCAACAAAAACAGAGTAGGGGGTGTTTGAAGGAGTGGCGCAAAATCATCCAACTCTCTGGCAGCCTGGGGTAATTTGAGGCTGGGA